CTTTCATAGATGTATTGGTTGATATCACATAAGATTCAAAATTTGATGTGTTTTTTGGAATTTTATCAGCTAATTTGATCTGTACCAGCACATTTATTATTTTTTAGACAGTTAAAGGCATTTTGCAACTCACTTATGTTTAATTTTACTTCTTTCATAGATGTATTGGTTGATTTCATATAAGATTCAAAGTTCGAAGTGTTTTTTGGAATTCTATCAGCTAACGATGGGCCAATATCAAGAAAAAATTTGTTGAGGTTTTTAATTAGGGGTCGTCCATAAAGTACGTACGCTTTTTTTTTGCTTATCCCCCCCCCCCCCGCAATTTCTCGTACGCTTTTTTGACCTCCTTAAAAGTACCTATGCTTTTAACCTACTAACTCAATATTTTATGATATTTTTTTAAATTTAGTGTCGCCATACTTTTATATTTGATCTACTGCCCCCTTATATTAGAAACGCCATTTGTAGGCCTCCTCTTCCTCTCCGAGCGTACAGAATTGGACAAAACATTTGCAACCAACATCGAACAATGCTAAAAAGTGTTCCTAATTTTACATGTTTTAAAAACGAAACGAGCTATACTACTACAGCAAATAGTTCAGGAGTCTGGAGTCATAGCATGCCATGACATGAGCAATCAGCTGACAGGTGACAGCACACAGGCAGAATTTTCCAGAAGAAGCATCCAGAAGAATCCAGAAACATTCAGAAGCATCCAGATGCATCCAGAAGCTTCCAGAAGTATCAAAAAGATGCATCTAAAATCTTCCAGAACAGGTTCACACAGGTTCATTTTACTATATAAGAGACATGTAAACTGACATGTAATTCAGTCAGTATATGGAAGTCAATCAGTCAGTATTATCAAGACAGTTTATCAAAGTGAGTTTTATCAAAGTGTTTTATCGAAGAACATCAATACAAGAAGTGAAATACAACAAATTTTTCATTACATCAATACAGTCCACATCCAACCAAGACTTTGTGTTCCGCATTATTGTATCATCACAAGGTAAATGTAACACAGTAAGTATTGATAAGCGTGATTATTTATTTTTATTATTTTTATGACTTCAAGTGCAAAAATGGCTCCCGACAGGCTTGGATTAGAACTAAAAAAGAAAATTATTGGCGATTACGCAAGTGGAATGTCACAAAAAAAGTATTTGTGATAAATATCGCGTGAAAAAATGAACCGTATATCAAGACTATGTTCCAAATATTGTTCTACTGGGAAGTTGGCAGCAGATAATAAAGGTGGAAGGCCGCGTTCCACCACTTCTAGAGAGGATTCTATGATCATCAGATCCGTTAAGAAGGATCCCTGGATATCATCAGTCGAGATACAAAAACAATTAGAGCTGCATGTATCGGACCGAACAATAAGACGACGTGCTGTTGAAGCCGGATTGTTTTCTCGACGCCCTGCAAAGAAACCGCTGGTTTCACTAAAGAACCAGAAGAAAAGACTTCTGTTTGCTACATCTCATATTGACTGAAATGTGCAGAAATGGCGAACTGTCTTGTTCAGTGATGAATCAAAGTTCAACATCATTGGGAGCGATGGCATTTACCGTGTACGTCGACCGGCCGGAAAACGCCTCGATTTACGCTACTGCCATAAGACCGTGAAGCATGGTGAAGGCAATGTAATGGTTTGGGATCGATGGAATAATGGACCGTTTCATGTATAAAAATATCCTGAAAGATGATATGTTACCTCATGCTGAATTGAACATGCCAATAAAATGGGTTTTTCAGCAAGACAACCATTCGAAATACACTGCAAAAGTTGTCAAGCAGTGGTTTCAAAACAACCACCTATCGGTGATGGATTAGCCGCCTCAATCTCCGGATCTCAACCCTATCGAGAACCTGTGGGAGATCGTCAATCGCAGAATTAATCGTGAAGGTGTTCGTAATAAGGATCAACTGTTTGAACAAATCCAAAAGGCCTGGGCAGCGATTCCACAAAGTTTCATTGATCACCTGATTGAATCTATGCCTCAAAGATGCATGGCTGTGATCGACAACAAAGGATTTGCCACAAAATATTGATAGCGAAATACAGCTTGGTCAACATTTTGTGGAGTTGCACTTGTTTTATCCAGAAGAAAATCAACTTTTTTTAATACTTTTGATTAGTTTATTAACTTTCGTGTACAAATAATGAACTTTGTGATGAATAAAACTTGAAGAACGTTGTCTCTAAACAGTTACATAGTTATTTCTCTAAATTAAAAAAAATGCAGCACTTTTATATAAAGAAACTAAATTAGCATTATTTGGTTGCACTTGTTTTGTCCAATACTGTACGTACTTTATGGATGATCCCTTTTGGCTTCTTAATTATAAATCATTTCCCTATCAACTAAGAGTTTTTGTGGCAAATTATTTTTAGAACAACCATTTTTACCGATTATCTGCTTAATCGCATTCCACATTTTTTGTGTGTTTCCGCGTGTTTTTTCCAACAACTTTGCATAATAATTTTTTTTGCTCGTTTTTTTGTTATTCAAACATGTTTTTATAATTTTTGTATTTTTATTCATTTACATGATTTAGGTTTAAATACTTTTCATAAAGATTTTGTTTTCTCTTTGATGATTTGTACAAATCTTTGGTCATCCAAGGGTTTAAAAGTGAATTAGAATTCACAATTTTTTTTTACTGGAAATGCCAAATCAAAGTGTTTACAAAACTGTGCCAAAAATAATTCATACGATTAAGATTGTAATATAAGATTCCAATCAGATTTTTCAGATAAAAGTTTTCAAAAGTATAATAAAGAGTTTTCATTGATTTGTCGCACTAAGATTGTTGATTTAGAGACAGAACGGTTAAGGTTATATTTTCTGTAATTAAGAATATAGGGTAATGATCAGTTATGTCGGTTTTGATTATACCCAATTTTAAGAAACAATTATGAAAATTATTAATGAATATATTATCTAGTAACGTCGACGAGGTCTTAGTTATTCTCGTTGACTTATTTATTGTGGGAATTATATCGTGTTGAGTAAGCGTATCTAAAAACCATTGAAAACTAACATTTGAAGCATGATTTAACAAGCTTAAATTATAATCACCAGTTAAGTACACGTTTTTCTTTGAAATGTTAATTTTGCTAAAAAAAATCTTAAATGGGTTTTAAATTATTAATTTTATTTAATAAAATTTAAATTTCAAACTATCAGCTGGCTTTCTATAAATAAAATTGATTATAATATTTTTGGTTTATTATTTATTTCGCAATCCATTTCGTTAACATTGAGATCATTATGCAAAACAAAGTTTATAGATTTGTGAACAAAACTTAAACCACCACCAAGGTGGGTTTTATGCGGTTGGTGAACAAAGATACTTAAACCACCACCAAGGTGGGTTTTACGCGGTTGGTGAACAAAGATACTTAAACTACCACCAAGGTGGGTTTTATGCGGTTGGTGAACAAAGATACTTAAACCACCACCAAGGTGGGTTTTACGCGGTTGGTGAACAAAGATACTTAAACCACCACCAAGGTGGGTTTTACGCGGTTGGTGAATTGACACGTAATTACTTAGCTCATAATTAGAATTTATTTTATTATTTTTCAACCATGTTTCCGTAAGACTAATTATTTTAAAATCATGGTTTATATTTATTTTAAATCATAGTTATATCATGTAATAATAATTTTAGATTATCAAAATTTTTATAAATACTCCGAATGTTTAGATTTAAAATTGAAAAACTATTTTTATTTTTTATTTTACTAAGAAATTGAGTAGATTCACAGATATATTCATCATCACTCTCAGTATTAAAATTAAATAGAAGATTATCATCCATTTTTAAAAAAGTAAAATATGATAATCATGAAAATAAAGATATTAAAATATTAGGATTTTATACTTTTAGTTTTCATTGCACCCCAATCGCGTATGACGAGTTTATCACATGAAATGCTTGCAAATTTTCCTGCCGCTTGTTCCAATTTCATTTGTTTTCTTAGCTAGCAATGATTATTTAGCGTTGTTGATTGCAGGTGTTATTGAGGGATTTTTAAAAATATTTTTGTTTGATTTATTTTTAGAAATACTTTATTATAAAAAATTTTAAAATATCTGATAATCATAATCTATATCAACACTTTTGATTTGCCTGATAGATTCCCAATAAATATGCAAAAGATAGAACTGGAAGGCTGCATTAGTGCGAATTTCAGGAATGCGAACTACAAACCCTTACGAACAAGTAAATTAAATGATTGATAGGTCATCTGCAACAAAATATACTTACATCTATTGTGTTTTTATTGGGATGATTGTAATTTTTTTTTTAATTTTTTGTAAATAAAAAATCTTTGACGCACATGTGCAATTATGAAATTCGTTACCGGGTCATTCTACGCCAAGTGGTCCAGAGGTTCCCACTCGACCATCTCAGATTTTAATAAAATTTTGTCAGTATGTAGTTAAACATGTTTAATCAAAATTGCGAAAGTTGGTCAAAGTGTTTGTTATTTCGGTTTTCATGGTACTTTTTGTAAGGTTCACCCAAATTTCAATATCAGTCAGTAGCTAAAAATTGTGTTTTTGGGGTCTTACATTTTTGCAATGAAAAGGTAATATATCTTAAAAACGTGGATTTTTAGTAAACCGAAAGTGCAAATTATTTATTACAACTTTCATTTCGTACAACAAATAAAGTCCGATATTCTATAGCTATAATTTGTGAACCCCTAAAAAAAAAATTTATAAGCAAAAATTAGAAATGCAAAATAATTTTATTATACTGAACACATTTAGAGATTCTAACTCGACACTTTAAAAAAAATGTTGTTTTTCGGAACTACGAAATGCTATGGTGAGTGTACATATTCTTCTCGTTTATGGTGAGTGCACACACAAATTCTAAATAAGTAAATTTACAATAATCCATTTCTTTATTAAATAGTTTATTTTAAAATTGTTCTATATAGCTAACCTGTTAAGTCTGAAGAAAAAGGTGTATTAACACACTCAAGAATTTCATTCTATTAATTTTATAATGATCGACAATAACAAAAAAGATATATTCACTCATTCTTTTAGATATTAAGAAAAAACTAAAGACCAATTTATTTTACAAATTACGAATATGTTCATAATTTCAAAAAATGTACAAAAACTAAATATTCCCGAATATTTATATATATCTATATATTTATAACATAAAAAAGGAGACACAACTACCTGATTACAAGCAAAAAAAAAATTAAAAATAGTACCAATGAGAAGCTTCTTTGAAAATTATTCTAGAAACTCAAAAATATTAATAAAATTAAACGAATTTGTTAAATTTATAAAATGTAATATTATATATTTTCTCTAATAATAAACATCGATTCAATATTGAACATTGATAGACTCATTTTTTAATATTGAATTTCGATTTACAAAAATACTAAAATTAGAAAAAATGAAGAGATTGTTTAAAAATTTAAAGAAACAGTTTTTGAAACTTGCATGCTAATAAATTATTCCAATAACGTAATTAGCATGCTAATTATTTAATTATAATTATACCATTGCTAGTATGGTTATAATAAACCATGGTTATTTACGTCTAAAAAAAATACTGCAACCATGATTGAATATAAAATGGTTTTGGTCTTTTCATCATTTTCACTTTGGTTTCCAGCTGTCTTTATCTTTCCGTAGAGCTGCCATTACTTCTATAATATTACTGGCGTGAACATGCTGTTGAATAACCGGCTGACTATAAAAACATAAGTAAAAAAAAAAGTAATAAACAGTCCGCGCTACTTTTATAAAGCAACACGGCGCACAGAAAGGTGAAAAAACAGCAAAAATTATATAACAATCATATATAAACATGTAATACATCAATATTATCGTATTTTGGGTTAAAAAATTTAAATTTTCTATTAAAAAATATTTTTTACGCGTACCTATGACGCGTACAACGCGCGCTTACGCGTGTTAGTGTCTTTTACATGCGCAAAACATGACTCAAATAAAAAAATCGGATTCCTTGATTCTGAAATACCATATAAAAGAATACCACATATTTTTTAATGTAAATTTTTCTTGTGCCTAAGGCTCGTACTACACACGCATATACATAAGTCTTTTACGCGCACAAAGACTGACTTAATTTAAAAAAATTAAGGGTGGAATGCAAGAAGCAAACTTGAGTCAAGTTCGACTTGAACTTTACTTTGTAACCAATAGCAGCAGATTATGTTTTGAGGGGAAAACCCATACTCTGTCGCTATTGGTTGCAATGTCGAGCTTAACTCAAGTTCGCTACACTTTTAAAAATTTCCGTTAAAAAAACGGAAATTTATTCCGTTTTTCAACGGAATGTATCCGTATGTCCATGTATGGATGTATCCATCGATTATGTACGGAAATTTTCCGTATTTGTAGCTAAATTTTCATATACGGAAATTTCCGTTGTATTTATTTAACTGAAAATACATGTTGAACTGCCATTAGTGAAAGTTATTTTTATGTACACATTTATCTCCAAAAATAAGTTCTGAAGTTTCACCTGCAGGGCAAAGAAAGTTCACCAAGCATTTTAATATAAACTGTTCTGTTCTTTTTAATTTTAAAATTATATGAGCTTTATTTGGTCCCTGGATTGCTTAGAACGAGTCTATGTTTAGTAGGATTCTTGACACAAGACTTGTGCATTCTTAGTTCAATTTTGAGTGATTTTAAGTTTATGGAAGTGCACTCACATAACATGTTATATATAAATTGGATCATTTCAAAGCCAGAGATAAAGTTCACATGTTAAAATATGAGCTTAAAATATATATATATATATATATATATATACATATATATATATATATATATATATATATACATATATATATATATATAGATATATGTATATGTATATATATATATATATATATATATATATATATATATATATATATATATATATATATATATATATATATATATATATATATATATATATATATTTATATATGTATTTATATATATACATCAGGGGCTATTCTAGACTGTTTTTGACCATATTTAAATGTTGTTGTTTTTTTGCAAAAAACATTGTTTTTTCTCAAAAAATTATGTTTTTTCAGAAAATGTTGTGTGTTTTTTGGCAAATATGGCTTATTTTTAGGAAGATAATGTTACTGATCAAGCCAGTATGCGAGGTACCGTTGCTTACATTTTTTTTCTTGAATAGTTCCTGTTATATATATGAGTATATACATATATAAATATATATATATATATATACATATATAAATATATATATATATATATATATATATATATATATATATATATATATATATATATATATATATATATGTATATATATATATATATATATATATATATATATATATATATATATATATATATATATATATATATATATATATATGTATATATATATATATATATGTATATATATATATATATATATGTATATATATATATATATATATATATATATATATATATATATATATATATATGTATATTTATATATGTATATATATATATATATATGTTTATATATATATATATGTTTATATATATATATATATATATATATATATATATATATATATATATATATATATATATATATATATATATATATATATATATATATATATATATATACATATATACATAGTAATGCATACTTTAGTGCTATGCTGTCACACTTATTTAGGGGTGAGACGATGCATAGACTGATTTAGGGAGAACTTGTAAGGGAATTGATAACACATATAAGGGTTTCAGTTAAGGAAGGATAAATTTATTTTCATTCTTCTTTCTTTTTCAACTTCTTTTTTTAAATAACGAGAATGGAAAATAGTTTGCTAACCTTTTATATATATATATATATATATATATATATATATATATATATATATATATATATATATATATATATATATATATATATATATATACATATATATATATATATACAAACATACATACATACATATAATATATGTATATATACATGTGTATTTATATAAAAAAAACATGCACACATATATTATAAGTGTGTGTGCATAAACTATGTATTTTTATATAAATAAAATTTGGGAATGTTTTACTTGTTATCTCAAAATTGCATCCTAATTTTCTTTCTTATTTAATATTTTAGTGTTTTAGATATTTTATCTAAAAAAAGATTGATTCAAGTGCCATAAAATAATTTTATGACCAAAAGCGAGGTTAATTCAAAAACTTTAACTCAGTTTTGGTCATGAATTATTTTATTAGTCTTTATTTATTAACAACCTAACACCATATTATCAAAACTGTATGCATAGAAAAGAATTGCTCGTGTTTTTTAAAGGCTTTAGCTTAAAATGTTAAGAATAAATATTTCAAACTTGAAATCTGGTTTTATTTTATAATGCATTGAATTTATAAACTTGGTGAATTATTTTCTAAAACAAGAACTTCTACACTTAAAAACGTGCTCATTTAACAGCTAATCCCCAACATTTTTCATAATTTTGAAAAAAATGCGGTTTGCTTGCAGACTTTAATAAAAACTGTTTTAGTTTTCCTTTAACAATTAAGTAAGATTTTTTTATTTTATTAATAGTTAAACAATGAGTTTATTTAATAATAACTATCAGAAATATATTTTTCTAATTTTTTTTTGATAAAAAGTAACAATAAATTACTAAAATTTAACCAAGTTCATCATTTGTTGCGCTTTTTATAAACTAAAAGAAGTTTTTTTACTATTGTATTAAATGTCGTATGATAAAACATTTTATTGTTGTTTTAATTCCTTTTACAAAACAAAATTATCTCTAATTATTTCAAAAGTTATAAATGTTTTAGTAACACCCTTTAAGTCAAAATTTTCAAAAAAAAAAAGAGAAGCAGTAAAGCTCACTCTGAAACAGCCGTGTCGTAGTTGGTAAATATCAAAAGCCTGCTAACTACGAGTATACTTGTAGTTGACAACGAACAGGTAAAAATAAAATAATTTCCATAATGTCAGCGTTACACTATTAAGGAATCAGTGACATGGGTAAATATATATTAAATATATATATAGTAGACTATTTTATAAAAGTTTCATTTAGTAATGTTTTTAAGCAGCAATTAAGAAGTATAATTTGATGACTTTGACAGAGTAGAAAAGACAATATCAAGACCAGATATTTTAGCTCTAAAGTAGAAAACATCACTGCAACCATTATCATTCATATTGGACAGCCTAGTTTAAAAATCTGTTTATTTTTTATATTTATTTATTATTTTATAGCTATTTTTACACAATTAGAAAGCATGAATTAATATAATATTTAAATGTTATACAAATATATTAAAAAGTCTATTATTTGTATTTAAAAGTCTAGGTATGTCTAGGTACAATATTTTTTTTGAGCAAAATAAAAACAATTCTACCACAAGAGCAACAAAATATCACAAGTTTATGAATTAAAATCTAATTTAAATATTAGAAAGATCATTTAAAAATATACTTGAGTACTAAACTTAAAATGTTAATATGAATGATTATACATGTGAAAAATAAAAACTTTTATTTTGTATGATAATAAATATTTTTGTATGATATAGAACTTATTGATTTGTCTTAAATACCCAGCTAGAGAAGTAAAAAACCTGAATCTTGATGATGAATATTTTTTTGAAAGATATATACATAAATTATTTTTTACAAACAACGTAAAATTGTTTTATGTGAATAACAACATATAATTGTATTATGTGAAATTTTATATAAACTGAGGCGCCGAGAATATTGCAAATATGATCAAATCAGCAAAGCTTTTTTATTAGAAAAAAAAAATATATATATATAAACTTTAACAACCTTTTTAAAAGGATAATGCACTACACTTGTAAATTAGATGTTCATTGTATTCTTGCCATTTTATTGACATTATAAACATAGGTTTAATTTAAAATAAGTTTAAGACTTGATTACTTAATTAAATCAAACTGAGATGATGCAGTACAAGATCAAACTTTCAAATGAAATCTTCAAAATAAAATAAAAATAACAAACTTTGTTCAAACAAATTGAGTTTTTTGAATTGAATACTTTTGGGCATTTGCAGTAACTACTGTTTTAAGTAGTTAACTACTTGTTTTATTGTCTAATAATACACATTTATTTTATATTATGGTAAAAAGAATTAATTAATTGATTTAAGCATTAAAAAAAAATGTTGTACTTGGTCCTCATAAACGGGTTGAATAACTTTTCTTCTCCTAACGTTGAAGGTATTGTAGGTAAATTTCTATCACGTCGGTTCTAAAATAATAAAAAAATAATATATCTATATATATATTTATATATATATATATATATATATATATATATATATATATATATATATATATATATATATATATATATATATATATATATATATATATATATGTGTGTATATATATATATATATATATATATATATATATATATATATATGTGTGTGTGTGTGTGTGTATATATATATATATATATATTATATATATATATATATATATATATATATATATATATATATATATCCTAAAGTCTGATAGTATTTTTCTTTTAAGGTCCTTATAAATGAAATACTCAACATAATGGAAAAAAACAACTAAAAACTGGTACAAATATTCTGAAATAAAAAAAAAATGTAACATTTAATGTCATATAGGATCTGGTTAAAAGTTAAAAAATGGTTTAAAAAGATTAGATAAAAATGACAGAGTGCAAAAACAACCTTTTATGTCATCCTAGCCTTAAACAATCTTTCAAAAATAAAATGCAAAACAAAAAAAAAAAGAAAAACTTATGTTTATATAATTATAGTTGTCAAATTATTAGATTTTAAGCACAACATTCATTTTAAGTAAAATTATCCATCCTTTTGCGAGCGCATGCAAAAACCATGCTAAAATATAAATACTTTCTTCTATAGCATACTTAGTTAATTTACTTAAAAGTGTATTTTATATATTAATTTTATAAAATGTATATAAAGATTAATATATAACAAAATGTATATTAAGATTAATATATAACTAATACTTTCCTTTATTGCATTCAAAATGCAAATTGTTGTGCAACCATAGCGCTCTCTACTACAGGCCTATTAATTGAGCAACCAAATCTTAGTTTTTATATATTAATCTTTGTATACATTTTGAATGCGATAAAGGAAAGTATTTATGTTTATATAAGTACAGTTCCTTCTCAAATTATTAGATGCTCTATATAAAATCTCAATTATTAGATGATACCTAATATTTTTTACACGATGTAATGTGTATTTTTTTTATTATCCTGCTATTTTTTATGTTTTGTTTTTGTTTATTTTTTTATTACGTGTTTTTAGCACAACTAAAAAATAAAAAAAAATAAAAAATTAATAAAATCAATTGTTAACATTTTGTTGAGCCTCTTTCAGTCACTAATAGAGCTTCAACTCTGCACAGTATGATACAAGACAGTACTGTCTCCTGTATTTGAAGATGATTCCACACATGAATGAACTTCTCTATGAGTTTCATTTTATTCATAAAAATGAATAGATCTCCAATTGCACACCATTTTCTAGCAAAACCAAATGATTTTGTAAAACTTCTTTATACCGATCTTGCCTCATTATACCTTTTAACATGTACAGAGGCCCAGTACTCTTGCCGCTGGTGATTGACCAGATCATCTGAACGAATCAAATTTTTTTCCCATGATGACAATGTAAAAATATTCTGCAAAATTTAATGTCTTCTTCTATGAAACAGACTGAAACATAGAACAAAGTAATAAAACCCTATACACCTGTGCTAATCTTTCATTATTTCATATGAAATAATGACATTATTTTACACAAATGACTTTTGTATAAACATTTTGCAATAAACTAACTTATTGTACTTCAAAAGTTCAAACTTTTATCACGCGACTTTCTATCGATTATTTCAGTTTTGTGGTAGCAAATCCATTTTCAAGACAAATTTTTTTCAAACATTATTCTTGAAGTAAAAATAGGCCTTCTGCACAAAATTTTTTTTCTTTTAAAGATCAATTTGGTTACATTAGTTATTTGTTTACATTACTTATTTACAACCGTGTATCAATTGATTGAGATGCCATACATTAAAAATAAATACAAATCGAAAGTATATAGAAAATCTCCTGAATATGCATCTAATAATTTGGTCAGGGACTGTTTATATATTACATAAAAACCATTTTTATCAGACAAGATAAAACATGTTTGTCAGAAAACAAACAAATAATTATTTATTTTAATCAACATTATTTCAGTTATTAGTTATTACACATTAGAATAACAATTATTGAACTTAAACACTGTCAAGCCAGCAGTTAGGTAAGAGTTGGAGAATTTCAAGTGTTGCTACTTTTGTATACTAATTAAAATAATTTGAACTTAGATTAAATAAAAAAATATTTTATAGTTAAATATTAGGAACACATTGAAGTTTTTAATTTTAAACTTGAATAGAGACTTCTGTTTAAGCTTTAAATTAAGCATACCTTGTGGCTTGTAGTCATTTTTCCATAATATAATTTTCTCAATGAAAATGATATTTGAAAAAGTTTAAAGTAAATTTTTAAAATTGCATGCTCCTCCAAATGTTAATCTATTTTACAGAACAAGACTGGGTGCTTTTATTTGGACACTATCACTATGTCTATATACAAAGGCTATAAACTAAGGTTTATGATCTCATCCTATTTATATTTATATATCCTGTCTATATTTACCCACATTTCCAGTCAATATATACCACATTTCTGTATATCCTGTCTATATTTACCCACATTTATGTGGGGACTTTATGTGTTTTTCTACCATTTGCTAAGTTGCCTTCACCCCAATCAAGTAGCCTGCTCCACAGTATACAAGGGACACTTCTTCACACCTTTGCTGAATAACCTTTAATAGTAATATTAAAAACTATAATTATTTAGAAAATTTTTTTGTTGACAAATTTGTTTCATTTGAATCAAACAAATTTTTGTTAATCAATAAAAAATTTGATTGCAAAGTAAACTTATTTCTCCTAAACGGAGATTATGACTTGGTGTAAAAGTAATACTGAAATTTTTAGTTGTCCAAAATTTCATAGAAATGTAATCCAAGTCAAAGTTATTTAACTGATCAAGTATGCAAGGGTTAAAATTAAAAATTAGAGAGTTTTTAAGCAGTAAAAAATATTCTTTGTCTTAACATTAAAAAAGTAAACACTTTGCATATAAGAAACTTAAACTATATGTAAAGTGAAAAAATTAAATGAATGAAAACTTTTTCTAAAGTTGTTGTAAAAGCTTTTGCTACAAAAAGTTCTGAGTTCTTACCTTTGCCCATTCAAGTTTTTGTTGCGCATCACGATTGTTTGGTTCAACATGAAGTGCAAACATAAGATTTTTCACTGTGTACTCATGACCGCAGTAAACATTCTACACACAAAAAAATTTGATATAAAAATATATAATTTGTATACACATTTTAGGCCAGAATACATAAGAAATAAATGTAAAAATAAGCTTATGCAGATGTTGAAAAAATAGGATAACAAAAACATTAAAAATGTGACTATTCAAATGCAATTTCACATACATGAGTTCTTTAGTTAATTATCACTAAATCTTACTTTATCTATACCTTTTGTTATATTTCTGACATGTAAACACACACACACACATACACACACACACATATGAATGTTTTTAGTGATGGTGTTTTAAAGTCCATACACTATCAAGAAAGTGCTTGATGAACTTAGATGAGTCAGAGCTAATAATAATAGAAAATAAAACTGATATTTTCACAAATTTAAATTTCATGCTATTGCAATCATCAGGTGTTTTTTTCTTAAAAAAATTATATACAATTGGAACTAGTTATGTAAAATTTTACATAAAAAACTATATACAAAAAAATATTACAAATAAAAAAAACTACATAAAAAACTATACACAAAAAACTATATACAAATAGAGATTCAAACCAATCTAAACAGTGTTCTTAAATCTTCAAAAAAAAAAAATCCTACCAATCTTTTAAAAAACAAAACGACCAATTACTCTACAATCAAACCATCCACTTTAAGTCCTTAAGCAGATCCCTCTCTCCACAATGATCAACCATCACAAAATTCATCCGATGAAAAAATATTTAACTTATCAAAAACAGAATATGAAGAAGCACTTAAACAAAATGGTTTTAAAAACATTAACTTAAAGTAGAACCTATAAGGCAAGAAAGAAGGAATTTAGTTACCAACCCACCTTACAATAAAAGCGTCTCTATTAGTGTTGGCCATATCTTTTTACAATTAATAACATTTCCAACCTACAAACCCATTGCATAAACTATTCAATCGAAACACCACCAAAATTAGCTACAGCTGCTGAAACTACATTTTAAAATTCATAAAAAGTCACTACAAAAAAATAAATTCAAAAAGTATGACTGAAAATTTCCCTTGTAATTGCAAACAAAAAGAAATCTGCCCGCTGAATAAATATTGTAGAGTGACAAATATAATTTGCAAATGCATAGCATCTTCCCCAAATACACCCAGCAAACCATACATTGGTTTATCAGAGGGTACAAGGAAAAAGAGATACGCAAACCACAAGCAACGATTTACAAATAAAAAACTCAAATGCAACCACTCTCTCAAAATATATATGGCAAACAAGGAAAAAACACAAAGAAACAACTGAATTATCCTGGTCTATCCTAAAAAGAGCCCCTGCTTACAACAACAGAATAAAAAAATGTTTACTTTGTTCATATGAAAAACTAATAGTTTTACTTTATAAAAATGCCAAAGAGCTTCCTAATAAAAAAACAAAGTTAATTTCCAAATGTTGTCACGAAAATAAATTTCTATTAAGCAACCACAAACCTGAAAATTAGATACACACTGTTGTAACAATAGTTATGTATTGCTTTTTATGATTAGTACGTAACTAGTTCCAATTTTATATAATTTTTTTAACAAAAAAACTATATTTGTACTTCACCTGATGATTGCAATAGCATGAAACCCAAAGTTGTGAAAATCATCTAGTTTTATTTTCTACTTTCATTAATATAAATAAATAAATAAATAAATATATATATATATATATATATATATATATATATATATACTATATATATATATATATATATATATATATATATATATATATATATATATATATATATATATATATATATATATATACATATATATCAGCCAATATATGCGCTGAAACAATGTATGTGCATTATCCCCACAACATATCTAATAGTATCGTGCTTAACTTGTTTCTCTGTGCAGTGGCCTTGTTTATCAAGATTCATGTTTCGGAGTTACAGAATTGAAAAAGTAAAAAAAATCATACTTATGTGATAACAACATTAATTATACTGATGTGAACTTGGTGCATTAGAATAAAGAGTTAAAACTTTTTTCAAAATATTTCTTAATTTTCTAGAACACTGTGCTTGTTACTTATACATAGTACAAACTGGCCGTATAGTAAGAGAGATAAGTATCTGAACAAAAATGTGTTTTTTTTTTAAAAGCAAATTAAAAAAAAATTTCGAGAAAAAAATAAGTTTATAATAATAACTTTTATGATTATTATAAAAGCAAAACTAATCAAATAAATCATAACAAGCAAGTAAAATATTTGTGTTTCATTGCTTAAAACTTTTTCGATCTTGAAAAAAACTAGCTTTTTAATATTGTTTGCACAATAGTCAAACATTTTATTCTGTAGGATTCAATATTTGGCCATTTATGGACCTTTATCAGGACATAACTTTTAATAGTTTTTTTTAAATAATTTGGCAGGACATTTTCTTAAACATGTAGTATTAATAATTTTATTTTGACAAGTAACTAATTTTTCTTTTTTTTGACAAGTAATTGTAAAGTAATAAAATTGACAAGTAATTAAATTTTCTTTTTAAAATTATATTTGTTCCATAATTCACATTTGCTGAATATATGAAGAAAAAAAGAGTCATTAAATGTAATTTATGGCATTATAGTGTAATAACCATCTGTCACCCACAGATGGTTATACATTGTACATACATTGACTAAAAGGTTAAGTTTAACAGTGTTACTATATAAATTATATACTAATCATTTACAACTTTTATATTCTAACTTTTTATATGCGCAGGTTCATCCTAACAATTTTTTCAAAAAAAAAATCTAATTCAAAAAATATTTTTAATAATTTTGCCATAACAAACATCCTTTGCACAATGATGCAGCATCTTTCTGTGGATGTATGTACTAAAAATGTATCTAATACTATAAATACTAAATCGCGTATTGAAAATGCACCCAAAGCCTATGCTTATTTCAGTTTGATATCAGTAGTGCTTTATATGAACCTATGTACATATATAAACCCCTATAGATATAAAAACTTATGTATATAACACGTACTGAAAATGTACCAATGCTATAAATAGCCTATGGTTATTTCAGTATGATATCATCAGTGATGCTTTATATAAACCTATATACATATATAAATACCTATAAATATATACACTTATGTATGTATGCATATGTAAACAACAATAATGTATGACCTTACAGTAACATCAGGAAATTTTGAAAGTTTTTCATTTAATGCTTCATGCATTTGTTGGGCAGTGCCTTCAAAAAATCTTCCACATCCACCAACAAATAAACAATCTCCTATAATAAAAAAATATATACTTTCTTAGAAAAACAACAAATAATCTTAGAAAGTGAACAACTAACTGATCAACTCATTTTAACTTCTTATAAAAATATTTCTAAATACAACAAGTGATATACATAAATATATTGGCGACAAAATTTTAGTTTTAAACAAATTTACTTCAAACAAGACTGCAAAGAAATTAGTTAAAGACCAAGAAAACAATTGAGAAAAAAAATTAAAAATCAGCATATTTTTAGTTAAAAAAAAAATGTGGGAGGTAATTCTAAAGCACTGATGTGGAAAAGTAACTAAATGTATAAATCAAGTACAGAGAAAGTTGTTCAAGTACAGAGAACGTTGTTCAAATACAGAGAAAGTTGTTCAAGTAAAGAATTACAATAGAAGTTGTTCATAAGTGTTGCAATAGAAGATGTAACTTTGCTGAAGAACAAGTTGTGCTAGATTGAGTTTGGTATTTTTAAAATGTGCTAAATTGAGTTTTGGTAGTTTTAAAATGAGATTTCAGCTTATTTGAGCAACAAACATGATAGTATTTAGAGAATGGAGTAATAGATGCAACCATATGACAATGTGTTTAAGCACAAACTTGATTCCTAGAACCGGAAAACTATTTGGTGGACACAGAAAAATCCATTAAACCTTTGACTGCAGCAAGCCACTTTTCAGTTGAAGTGCAGCAAGCCACGATTGTAGCTTTTAAAACTAATCTTTAAAATTATGACCTTTATTGCAAAAATATCAGATTTGGTAAAATATAAATGATACCACTGAGTAGTGCATACTTTTTTCTTTCTTTTTATATATTGTTTGTATATTTTCTGTGAAAATGAGTGATAACGAAGACACCTCAATGTATGAAGAAAACTCTACTAGCAAAGAAAATATTAGTAGTAATGATGAATTTTTTTTTTGATAAAAGCACAATTTTATTTATATAAAAATAAATGGTAGTATCACTGTGTCCTGCTTGCTTTTCTAATTATCATTCATTATTTACAAAATGCTTAAATTTTTTGTTTATAAATTTTGTAGATGTTTTAAAATGAAAAATGATATACAAATCTCAAAATTGTTTTTTTTTTTTTTGTCTTTTAGTTGAATTTTTCTAAACATCTTTTAATTTTATCAAGCAGCCAAAGAGTTAAAAATTTAATTAAAATTTCTCTTAAAACGATTCAAGTTTTTTATTTCAAACTTTTTTAACTAAATGTTATTTCCTTATCTTTAACTAGTTACAAATCAAAGATTTTTAAAATGTTAAAAAAAAAATTAAATTAAAAAATTTTTTTTAGCAAAAACCCATCAACCTCATGCCTTGATCACTAAACGTACAAATGTACATATTTCATTGTGGATTCAACTTTCTGGTCAACAATTTTAATATGAGAACAATGATATGAAAACCTAGAAGTAACAGAGATAAATAGTGTTATCCATCAAGGTTAAATTCAATCTCGCAAAAGAAAGATCACCAATTTTAAAAATTTTCCTTTATAGATATAGATGAAAAAAGGTATGGAAATAACCAACATGTTATACTTTATTAAAAGTTTAAATTCTGAAATAAAGGACAAGATTTAATAATAACAGACTTTACCTTGTAGAAAATACCTTTTATGGAAAATACATTTATGCATTAATTTTTTGCAATAATAAAAAAATATTTGCTCTCAGGAAAATTGGAACAAAAAAACATATACGATATATTAGCAGTAGTAATAATAATTTTGTGAAAATAGTGACATTAAATTCTTTCTTTTGTTGTGTGAGAGCACACTTCCAAAAGTTTTGGTTCAAAGTTATATAACAAATATATTTTTGTATAATTTTTAGTTTTGTTTAGCTTTAACTTTTTAAATAAGACTTAAATATAAGCTTAACCGATTTGAAAATTTCAGTGAAAATATTTAGTTTATTAACATATATTTGACAAAAAATATTTGATATTTCAATGTTTTGATATTTTCAAAATTTAAATATAATAGTCATTAATTAAGAGAATGCAGGAATATGGAGTTCCAAAAGGACCCCAGTTTTATAACTTTATTCCTTTTATGGTCTCTGGTGTCCAAAAGCTCTAAACATGTTCCTTGATTAATGATCTGCTATAAGAAAAAAAATTTATGATATTTAATGACTTGGAATTTTGTTTTTAAGCCTGGAGCTCTGGAGTCCCAGAGTCCTTGTCACCATTATACTTAAGGTTCTTCTAACCTATAAGAGTTCAAAAATTGATTGTTTTTCTAACCTATAAGTCCTGATTTTTCACCCCATTAGTAGCTCATAAGCTTTTTTATATTTTTAAAGCTCCTGGATACTAAAAACTAGAAAGAAGTAATGTTTTTGTGACTTTAAATCCGGAGTCCTTTTTGGGACTCTGCATCCCTGATAGAATGTGATCGAACCTGTATGAAATCAAAGCTTTAAGTGAAGTTCTAGTTTGATAAATTTTTTACGCTAAATATTTATTTATAAGATATTTAAAAATAATACGCTATCTTTAAACATTGCGCTAGATATTTAACATTTTAGCGTTAAGAATTTTTATTGAAGTGTTGCAAGTTTTGATACTTTATTGCATGGACTTTAATGTAATTCAAAGTAAAAGTTCGATTTATACGATGTTTTTTGTCAAATGGACTAAGAAACTGTACAAGTTGGCAAATGTTTCAACTTTTCTTTTCTCTAGGGTACAATTAAGCGGATAATATGATAAAGTTTAACTGGAATTTGAAAACATGCTGAATTTAACTTTCAAATACAAGAAATATTTTGTTTTTAATTCAAACTTTTGCCTAATAAATTAAAATTAAAGTACATCACACATAATTTATGCGTGACGTACTTTATTAGGAATATAACTTTTTTATTTAATAATATGCAAACTCTACTGTTTAAACATATTTTGATTACGGCAAAAAAATTTTATTAAAAATATTTTAAAAAAAACAAAGATGTATCTTACCAGTAAATATAGCTGGAACATTAGAGTCACCTTCAACATAATAGCACATATGACCTGAGGTATGACATGGTGTGAATATACATGTAACATTTAAACTTCCAACCTTAATAAAAGTAAGACAAAATAAAAAATTTATAAACTACATGCATATACATGATAAAACAACATGCATCAAAATTTACAATCAATATATAAGATACAAAGTTTGAATTGTTTGTTCTTAGTCATACCAAAAAGCAATCTATTAATATGTTATATAAAGTTTTTTTTAAATCTAAAAGATTGAATCATTAGAATTTTAGTTATTTTTTTAAATAATTTCAAAAAAGGTTATTTAAAAACTTTATTATTTATTTTATTGTTTAATTGTCATTTATTGATAAAAAATAGATGATAATATTAACTATTAAAGAAATTCAAAATTTATTTTTAAAAAGTCTTGAATTAATTTCTCATTCTGTTAATTAAAATTTTTGATTAGTTTTAAAAACTAATCCAAATTTTGCCAACCTTCATCTTTGCTTGAATGTCAAAATAAACTTAGAATTTTGGTTGATTCCAACTGAGTTAGTCAAACAAGTACTCGGCTTCAGAATAGGAAATACTTTATCATGTTCCATATTTTCTTATGTTTTCAAGAACTAAACTATCAAGTCATGCTTTATCACGATTGAATAAAGCTTATCAGAAAACAGTAAGAGATGTTAAATATCAGTTACAATCTTTGATAAATATCAAAGATGCATACTGAATGTTATGAAAGCAGCTAGAGCAACACCGTAGTCAAATTTTCAATAATTAAGCATTTCTTTGCATAGGATAGCGCATAAATAATGTAATGATTTAATTAGAGAATAAATTTTTTGCTGATTTTAACTAAAGTAACAACCAAAGTAACTTTTTATTGAAGTATTCTTTAATTATTTGTACAGAACCATTCACAATTTGATGAAATTGTGTCAAGTATAATTGCGGCAAGCATTTTTCCCAAGCCTGTGTCTATGGTTGCTATTGCCTTATTTCTTCCAGTATACGTATGTATGTATGTATGTATGTATATATATATATATATATATATATATATATATATATATATATATATATATATATATATATATATATATATATATATATATTAGGGTGTCCCAAAAAACAACATTTTTGAAAAAAATCTGCTCTCACCCCCTAAATGTGTTCTATCTAATACAAAAACACTAGGTTTAAATTTTTTTTGAATAAAAAATATTTTAAGGGGTCCCTTAAGACCCTCAAATATTTAATGGGTCCCTAATATTTTCAAAAAAAATGTTTTTCAAAAATATGTCAACCTGGTACTCAAATGAAGCGAAATTATATAAATATTTCAAAAATAATATTCATTTCCAAATATTTTTAACTTATCAAAATTATCATAAAAAAACATTAGAAATGCATTTTTTTCATTTTTTCTTAAAAAACGCAATTTTTTATGTAATAAAACCAAAAATAACAATTTTGTTTCGAAATGAATATTATTTTTAAAATTTTTATATAATTTTGCTTCATTTGAGTACCAGGTTGACATATTTTTGAAAAACTTTTTTTTCGAAAATATTAGAGACCCATAAAATATTCAAGGGTCTTGAGGGACCCCTTAAAATATTTTTTATTCAAAAAAAATTTAAACCTAGTGTTTTTGCATTAGATAGAACACATTTAGGGGGTGAGACACCCTAATATATATATATATATATATATATATATATATATATATATATATATATATATATATATATATATATATATATATATATATATATATATATATATATATATATATATATATATATATATATATATATATATATATATATATATATACACACACACAGTACCTACTCAAATTATTAGACTCAGTCTTAATTTTTAACTTTTTGTCTTTTTAGTGTGTCTAAAACTCACTAAAAGCAAGCACTTATTTTTTTATAAATAATCTATATATTGATATATAAAAAGCATATTATGCAACTTAATACTTAGTGATGATTCCTTTTGACTCCTTTTGAAAGAGCTTTGATGCACCTTGGCAAACTACTTACTCACTTTGAGGTCAATGCTTTAACATCTGGATCTAGATGCCATACTTTGATTAGTCGTTTTGTGAGTTTCTGTTTACTTGTTAAATGCAAAGTCAGCACTTTGCATGTTACAAGCACCCACAGATTTACAATAAGGTTCATATCTGGAGAATTATCAGTCCAATCAAGTAGCTCAATACTTTCATTAGCAAAAAAGGTCTTTGTGGATTTTGCAGTACAGTAAAAAGCATTATTTTGCATGAAAACTACTTTTTTTACCATTAGGAAACCACTCTTGTATCTGTTGAATCAAACTAGTCTGTCAAACAGTCTTGTACTATCTTGTTTCATCATCCCATGTACAATGTAAAGACTTTGACTGATACCCCTGTTACAGTTTTATTGATGGTATCTTACGATTTTGTTCAATAACTGTTTTTATTTTTCTGTGATCTCTAGCACTTGTAACTCTTTTTCTGCCACAGGATTCTGTTTTCTGCTCTTCTAACTTGACCCCCATTTTAAGTTTAGAATTTGTTCCCCTGATTGTAGCCATGATAATTTTTACAACTTTGGCAATACTTTTTTGGATGTAACTTGTTTCTTGCAGAAGGACAGTTACTTTTGCATATTTACTAGAGGAAATATTACTAGATTTACCCAATATTAATCCTAACATAACTCCAACATTGATTAAGTTATTATATGACTGCACAATTAAAAAAAAACAACTTAAAATCAACTGAAACTTTATTATTTAAATTGTAAAGACAGCCAAAAAAAATGTAGGTCCCTAAAGAAGACATAAAAATTGAGTTATGACAGACAAAAATAACTTTTTTTAAACAAAATTAAGTTTTTAACACAATTTAAACTTACCATAACTTTTATAAAGTTGAAAATATTTTTCAAAATTAAATATATTTTATAAATTTTCCTAATTAAAAACAAAAAATGAATGACAGGAAGATAAATTGCACATTAACAACAAAAATTAAACATCATTAATTGCTACCTATCAAAGAAAATCCAAAAATTTTTTATTAAATATAACTTTTATCAAATATAATTTTATTTGATTGTTGATTTAATAATTTATGTTTTTTATCTTAGATGAAGTTAAACTTCAACAATTATTTTTTAATTTATGTTTTTTCTGATTATGTTTTAATTTCTTATGTTTTATCTTTACTACTAACATCTCCTAGAAACAATATATCAAATCCATTTCAGCATTTCCTAGAAACCATATATCAAACCAATTTCAACATTTTCTAGAAACCACATATTAAATCCATTACAACATCTCCTAGAAACCAATCAAATCCAATGCAAAATTAATAGTTACCTAGATTGACTCTACTGTGATCAGCCATTTTTATTTAACAAACTCTTGAACTATAAAATAACCTTATTTTTATAGTAACCTAAAACTATAAAATAACCTTATTTTTATAGTAACCTTATTTTTATAGTAACCTAAATTTTATGCATGAATGATAATGAATAAAAAACATGTTTTTTATTCATTATCATTCATGCATACTTATATAAGATAATATCAATATTAAACATTGCTTTTCATAAATGTTCTGATAAATTAATTAACAAACAATTGGTTAAAAACAAAGAAAAACAATTGAAAGTTAAAAATTAAAAACTAATATAGTTGCCAACTAATCGAATTGAAGTTGGAAGATTTTTTGTATATTTTTATGCCAGTAAAGAAAAAAAAGATTTTTACAGAATTTGATATTTGAAGTCTTAATTGAGCAACCTTGATTTCTAGTACAGACTGTAGTGAATTAAGGGTAATGTGCTCATAAATTTTAAAAGATTTCTCAGTTTTTGTTTTAAAATTTTGAATAATTTCTCAGCTAGTAGTAGCAGTACTGCTAGTTACTATTGACCTAGTTAGCAACTAAACTATTGATATGCAATTTAAATTGAACTAAAGCATTATGGTTTAATTAATGTTATAAACCTTTATTTTATCACCATCTTTTACTTTCTTATTGAGAGCTCCAATTCTTTCATCCCCTCCACATACTACCAAGTCAGTCAGTTGTTTACACAACTCTTCATTTCCACCAGCATGATCCCTAAAGACAAGTTTAAAATTTTTATAGAAATAAATACTAATTTTATTATTTTTCTTGTTTTGCATTTTTTTAAACTTTTTTTAAAAATATGGAATAATTGTTAGTCTAAGATTTTTAGTAGGAGTCATTTTTTAAATTAAACTTATTGTAAGTTAAATTTAACTTTCAATTAGAAGTATAATAATTTGCTTTATTGTGCAGAGTTTTCCATTCAACATAAAAAGCTTTTGAATTTTAACTATTTTAAATCTCAGCCTGGAAGCCAATAATTTTCAATTTCTATTTTAAAGTTGAATTTAGTATGATATTCTTTATGAATAAGTATAACACACTAAATATAAAGTGTAAATTAAAACATAAAGTTAAGTAAATGCTCAAATACTTGTAAAAGTTAACCAAAGAAATGTTTTTATTTATATTTTATATGTTGTAAACAAACAAAAAGCTTTAAACTAAAATTCATTTTAAAAGAAAATTTCAAATAGAATATGAATGTAATATTTTGTAAAATTTAAAAAAATATTTAAAAATATAAATATAAAAATATCTGCAAAAAGGATTGAAGAAGATTAAAATTCTTTTTGCAAATTAATGTTTTCTTTGTAGTGAAGTCTGTAATACCAGTGCAGTGATGTCTGTAATACCAATTTTTTTTTAAATGGAAAATAAAGATACATAAATAAAAATAAAATATTTAATAATAGGTTTCTATTTTATAAAATCATTTTATAGAACATAGTGCAACCGAAAAAAAAATTTAAGGCTATTTCAGTATGATGTCAGATTGCTTTACCTTAGTACGCAATACCATTTGTATATATATATATATATATATATATATATATATATATATATATATATATATATATATATATATATATATATATATATA